GCACGTCCCTCCAGAACAGGGTGTTCATGTTCAGACCTCCTCTCAATGCAGATAACGCCTCACGGTCGGTGACTTGCACACAATATGTCATCTCATCGGTGATGTGTGATAGGAAGCTTTTTAGGGACTCCCCATGTGCCTGTCTCATGTCTTGGAGACGTTGGATGGGGGCCTCTCCCTCTTTGCTTACAGCGAACCTCTTCAAGAAGGTCGTCTTGAATTCAGGCCAACTTCTTATGCCCCTAGGTGGTAACCTAATACCAAATTTTAGCTGCTCCGCTAAGTATTAAGTGGAAAGCTCTTCATTTCATAGCTGGGGTGGCGCTCCTTAGGCTCATGTGAGTTTTGCAAGCATTCAGGTTTTTCTCTGGGTCGCCTCTTCCGTTATACTTTGGTATTTTTGGCAAAACATGGCGGTTTGGGACCTGTGCGCTCCTTAGTTCCCTCGAGAATGGTAGGTTTTCATCGTTATCGTCTAAGTCACAGGATCTCTGCTGTTCATCTGAATCGTTTTCATTGGCTTCATACCTTGATTGTTGGTGAGATGTTCCGGGACGGTTCTAGCCTCTTCCTCCCTCCTTTGGTGCCTATTTCTAGGCGGAGCAACACGGGGGACATTTTCATGCCTTTCTTCCGGCTGTTGAGACATTGGAGGTGGAGGGGGTGGCCTTGTCGAAGGCTCATGATGTTGTTGTTGTCTGAACCTCAGTTCAATGGGGCTAATTCTGTCAAATACTTTGCCTGACTTCCTATGTCTTTGCTCTTGCTCATACGGAGGTGGGAAGTTATCATGGTTCAAAGGGACCTCGGTGGGTCGGTCAGAAGTGTAGTTGGAGGAAATATCAACTTCAACTTCCCTTTCAAATGGGCTTCTACCTCGACTATTGTCCGGCGAGATAGCCCTACGATTTTGAGCTTCATCTTCTTACTGGTAGTGCCCTTGAGGGGCGTATGGAGGAATAGAGAAGCCTCCCTGGCCCTGCATTTGGGCCATGAGTTCCCTCATAGCCATATTTTGGCTAGCAATGTTTCTTAAATTAGCTGCCATGGCGGCCATTTCTCTTGATAGCTGGGCCGTCGCACGCATTCCACCTCTTCTGTGGTTGTGGTGGGGTCTATACCGAGCTGCTGGGGCAGCTGCTGGAGGGGGTATATCAGCATTTTCTCTATCTTCATTTGAACTCATTTTCTTTGCATCTTGCCCTTCAGATTTTTACTATGTCGTGGGGCTTCCTCTTTTTTTTTTTAAGAACAAATCATTTCTCGAGAGGATGTCCAAATGCTCCTATTTAATAAGCTTTCACCACAAGGTTATTCGTGGTTATGGCATGGTTTCTCATAGATGGTGTCAATCTGTCGACCCCAATAAATGTTGCCAACAGAGACCGGACACACCCGCGCACACGTAAGCGAAAGTCCAACACACAAAGACACGTGGATGGTCTAAAACGGACAGATCAAGGGCGTGGGAGTAGCTCAACTATGCAGGACGAGAACGTTCGGAATCCGACGAGATGATCGTAGACCTATTGTACAATAATTACCAATTGATGTTTACAAATGTGTATGTAAATATGCTTAAATTCGTATTGTGTTGCAAGATAATCAGAAAGAGAGAGTAAAGTGTGGTTTCTTGTATTGATTCTTGCATTAGCCTCTGTATGGGGTACATATGGGAGTATTTATAGTGTCACAAGGCAGATCGTGACCTTTGGTTTGGGGTACACGTGGCCTCATATGATTAATTTACATATCAAATTGTAGACATCAGCCGTATTTAGCTTGCTATACATTTATTGATTGGCAGAGCCGCACTTACTAGTGAGAAGATTTAACATTTACACTCATAACAAACGTCCTATCAATCATTTTAGTAAGATCTTTGTGCAGAGGATCTCTTGGAAGAAGTGTTTATGGAAGATGTTGCTTTGTGATTCGAAGACTGTTACCTCGGCTACAGAGCTTCGGCCAATAAGGCCTCGTCCACCTTCAAAGGGCCTCGGCATATGGGTTTCGGAAGCTTCTCAAGAGGCAATGATAGATGGGCCTCAGTATATATGGGCCTAGGCTTCTATGGGCCTCGACTATGCAAATCACCTCGATTTGAGTGCCACATTGTTTGGCATGAGTTGGCCGTGGGCCCCGGTGAGTTGCCCAAGTGTGCGAACACGTAACAGTTATCTCATAATTTGAAATTGCTAACAAATTTAACAGACAAATAGTTGGAAGGCTAAGTAAGTCTCTATGAGTTATCCCAAATGATACATGTGGACTCAAAATAGGAACAAACTTTTAAAATTGTCCGAATTTAGGGTTTTTAAAACCACAATGGTGTTAAGTACATATTTTCATACTTTGCTATTTTCCACGCCTTATATAAATTTCCCATTTCGACCCGCTTAATATTACATAGGAATAGATAGACGTGTAAAAGAAGTCAGATCATCCAAATCAAGGAAATCGAATTCGCCTTTACATCAAAAGTCGACCCACATTTTCTATGAACTCCAAATCCTCGACTCTCTTTTTGAATATCTTTGTATCTTTAAAAAATGATAACAAAAATTTACTTGACTATTTATAAATAATTTATAAATATGAGTCAAACATAGTTTTGGTCTTTGTTTGTCAATCATTTTATCACAATATTTTCTATATAAAACTCATTTTCAATCATACATTCTTTATTAAAATAATATTATATATAAATAAAAAACTTTCCCTTCTTTTTAACCACACATTTCAACATCAATCATTATTCCATAATACACTTTTTAAAATTAAAGGGCACAAACATGCCCTTAGTTTATTGTGATTGAGGGGGGAAAAAAAGCCCTTAGTTTATCATGCTACAAAATTAATTAAATTACCAAAAAGGTACTAAAAATATTTATTGAGAAAAGGGAAAATTCATAATTAAGAGATTAAGTATCACCCATCTCAAAATTAAGAACAAAAATTTCAAATTTCAAAAATCGAATATTTATTAAAATTTATTTATGATTTAGTTAATTAATTATATATTTAATTAATTAAATATATGAATGTCACATGTCTATGCAATTTGGTCACAAATTAACAATTTTGTTTGTTACATATTTATTTTTCGATTACAAATTAGAATTTTTATATATCACAAGTTATTTTACGGTCACAATTTAAAAATTTTATAAGTTACAATTTGTTCGTTGGTCACAAATTCAAAAAATTATAAGTCATAATTTATTTATCGGTTACAAATGAAAAATATTATAGGTCAACAATCACAAATGATCAAATTATCAATCACAGATTAACAATTTTTTAGGTCATATATTAGTTATTGATCACAATTTTATATATTTCATTGGTCACATATTATTTATTGGTCATAGATTAACCAACTTAATGGTCACTGTCAACCAAATAATTTGTAATCATCACCAACACCTGTGACCACTACCAACATAGCCACCGCCATCAATCAACAACCACCAACCACAGTCATCCATAGTCGCCAAAACCACCAACACCTCCCTGCAACAAAACCACTATCTCAAACACCGTAGCCAACATCACCACCACCACCGTCACCACCAACAAGCCCACAGCTATTACCAGATCCAACATATCTCTGCCATTGTTGGATCCAATAAAGCCACCGCCGCCCGAACACTACCACCACGAGCACCACCTACCAACTGAAAACACACCTAAAAATCCACATTAGTTCACAGAGCTGTATATCTCGGCCAGGGTGGTAGCAGATCTTGACCACGGTGTACGATGAGACTAAATCGACAATGAGCGCCGTTGTGAGCTGAATCGGCAATGAGCGCATAATAGCAAACTAATCAGCAATGAGCACAAAAATAACCACCATTCCCACCATCACAGTGCACAACTTGGTCTTTGAGGCGGCACTGCTGCTGCTGCGTTCGTCGTCGAATGGGGTGGGTTTCGAAGCCAGGTGAGGGTGGGTATAGGTGCCAGTAGAGAGGGTGAGAGAGAGAGAGAGAGAGAGAGAGAGAGAAGAGTGGTAAATGATTTTTAGGTTTGGAATGAAATTTGTATATATATAATATAGGATAATTGGCACAAAACGTCCATACCTTTCAAATTTATTGTCGAAAATATCCATACTTTCCATTTTTTGACATTTTGCCCCTACCTTCCACATTTCTTTGCACAGAAAGTCCTTTTGACGATTTTACCCTCCATTGAAATGAAACAAAAAGAAAAGAAAAGAAAAAATAAAGAATTTATTGCAATCATCGTCCCAATTTTTTTAATTATAAATCAGTCATGAGGAAACTTGAATGTACAGGGAAATAATCAAGAAATGGATAAATTTTTTAATTATAACCAATGGAAATGAAAAAATTTGAAGATTACAAGATTTTTGCCTCAAACCTTCCATCTACTCTTCACTAAATAAAAATTGAGATTTATGCTTACCCATTTTTGAAGATCTTCAATTTCATTGGCTATGATTTAAAAATTTCTTTATTTCTTGATTATTTCTCTGTACATTCAAGTTTCCTTTTTTTTTTGGCAATTTAAAAATTTTTCAGTTCACAATAGATTGTGACCAATTTGTAATTTTTCAAAAAAATTTGGGACTAATATTGCAATTAATTTTTTATTCTTTTCTTTTTATTTTATTTGAATGGAGGGTAAAATCGTCAAAAACAAATGAAAAGAACCTTCTGCGCAAAGAAATGTAAAAGGTAGAGGCGAAAATGTCAAAAAATAAAAAGTTGGGACGTTTTTCACAATAAACTTGAAAGGTAGAAAAGTTTTGTACCAATTACCCTATAACATATAATATTTAAATTTTAAGTATCTGATTTTTGAATAATGAAATCCTTATCCTGATTTTAGAACGTTGATCTTTAAAAATAGGGTGGAATGTAATTTCTAATTGTGAAAAATAATGGACTTTGCTTCATAATAGCAGCACGGGCTTGGCCCTATAAGAAAAGGGCCCATACCATAAACCCTAGAACAAATTCATTTCCCATGTATAAAAACCTATTGAGGGCATTTCGGTTTTTAACCACATCTCGCACCGTTCAATCGAGAGAAAATGGTGTCGCTGAAGCTACAGAAGCGGCTCGCCGCCAGCGTACTCAAGTGCGGCAAGGGCAAAGTCTGGCTTGACCCTAATGAAGTCGATGAGCTCTCCAGAGCCAATTCGCGTACGTACACTTAAAGAATAGATGTGATAATTGGTATTCGATTTCCTTTTTGTATGGTTTTGTTGAGTTGATTTTATTTAATGCCGTTCGATAGATTTTTTCGAGATCTTGTTCGTGCTTCTAATTTGAATAAGTTGTTTGTAATGCTGTTTATTGTTAGGTGCAATTTATATTTGCATCCCTTCAGCAGCAAAATTTTAATTTTTTTTGCTTTTTGAAGATTTGGAGAAGTAATTTTTTCTATATGCTGTTTTGGAATCTGTCTATTAGCTACTCACAGATATCATTTCTAGAAGGTTTTGTTGAGTCCATTTCATATATGTTCAGATTCGAACCTGTTCAATTCCTTGTATATGTTGGTTACTGGTGCTATATGTATCTTCTAGCAAGATTTAATCATCAGTGTGGAGGTTTTGGAGAAGTAAATAGCGGAAAATTGGCTGGTCGATATGTTTTCAAATCTGTCTAACAGCTACATAAGGCTTTCTACTCGGTAATTGTTAAAACATTTCAATCTTGCACTGTAACAAGGTGGAGATTAGCTCTTTCTAATTCTATTTTATTCAATCTATATAGTCAGCTTTATATGCAATTTGAAGTTCTTTTATTTTTCAAAAAATACTATATCCGAGATTGCTAGAAATATGGTAAAGGAGGTCTTCATTGCTGTTGTTGCTGTAAAGCTTGTTAATGGGCTTAAATACCCTTGGTGCCCACAAGAGTTTTTTATTTTTATTTTATTTTAATACAAAACAAACAATAGTTGAAACTTCAAACCTGTAAGAAAATGTGAGGCATGTTACTACTTTCCTGATATTTGACCATCTTTCCACTCTGTGAGGCTACTCACTGGTACAGTGCCTGCTAAAGATTTAGAATCTATTTTTGGCACGAACAAGCTCCTGCCTTTTCTCAATATTGCAATGCGCATACATTTTGTGGCAGTATCATATGTACTTGTGTTTAAATCTTATTTGTATAAAATTCAGGTCAAAACATCAGGAAGCTTGTCAAGGATGGTTTCATCATTAGGAAGCCAACCAAGATCCATTCTCGATCCCGTGCTCGTCGAATGAAGGAGGCAAAGAGAAAGGGACGTCACTCTGGATATGGTAGTGTCTTCTAATTGTGGAATGCATAGATTGTGTACTGTCTGCTAATTGTTCATTGCATTAAAGCTGGTGTAATATAATCATTTTGCTAATTGAATGATCTTTTTCATCATTTTTTATGCTTTAGATTTTGTTGATAAGTTCACTTTTGGAAACAGAGGGATTCTACTTACTGATGTTCTTAATGGATGTATGATGCTTTATTTTATCTGTGAAAGTTAAATTAAGAATCTTTACCCTCTCTTTGCTAGAGAAAATACATGCAAATATTAGATGTGATGCCATCTTATTGTGAACTTAACTTTGATGGGACTGTCTTACTGCTGTTCTAAAACTTAGTGCATCAAAGCTATGATTGAGTTCCTCCTTTCATGGTGTATTCCCTCGCCTTTATCTTTTTTATGTGTTAAAAGAGGATTATAGATGTCTGATATCTAAGATGTTTTCTAAATTATTTCAGGTAAGCGCAAGGGTACTAGGGAGGCAAGGCTGCCAACTAAAGTACTTTGGATGAGGAGAATGAGAGTGCTTAGGCGCTTGCTTCGCAAGTATAGGGAGTCAAAGAAGATTGACAAGCACATGTATCATGACATGTACATGAAGGTAAAGGGTAATGTTTTCAAAAATAAGCGTGTTTTGATGGAGAGCATCCACAAATCTAAGGCTGAGAAGGCCAGAGAAAAGACCTTGTCTGACCAATTCGAGGCTAAGAGAGCGAAGAATAAGGCTAGCAGGGAAAGAAAGATAGCTAGGAGGGAGGAGCGTTTTGCTCAGGTGAATAACTGCATTCCTTTTGTAGGTTTTTGTTCAACAGTAACTATTGTAACAATTGAATTATATGCAGAAGCTTCAAGCATTGATATCCAAATGAAGGCTATCAAAATATATAAGCCTCCTATTTGGCTTAGATAAAAATCAGATATTAGTATATTTTAATAAAATGGATGAAATATGTGGTGGAAAAGTTGATAAAAGTTTTGGGTCCCATAAAATGGGATTGAAAATGAATTTGGGGGAAAGAGTTTTAGAAAAATGGAGCAAACAGGGGCTAAGTTTGCGTGAAAACTTGTGTCTGAATAACTTTTTACTTTTTGAGTAAATGTAATAGTACCAAGTTTATGTATGATTTGTCATTATCTTGATTAAGTTTTTGGGCTTTGTCTTCTATTTCAGGGACCAGGAGAGAAAGTAGCACCACCTGCTGCTGCAGCCCCTGCACCTTCGTCACAGGCAGCTCAGTAAGCGACTTGAAAAATTGATCGAATCAAGCTTTTTCATTGGTTATTGAAACTGTGATTTTAACTCTATGAATTCTGCATCACAGGGGAGCCAAGAAGGCAAAGAAGTGAACTTTTTGACTCAGATTTAAGGACTGGCGGATTCCTATCGTCTTTATTTATTTTTGTTTCTTTGTATGACAATTCAGGTTTTTTGACCTCTGTACTAAATCTTTTCTTAGAACTACATTAGCTATTTCAAGTTGAATTGACTATTGAGAAATCATGATGACAATTGTCGTCGTATGTTTACAATGATTTTTATAATGTTGAAAAATTGTTGGGGGGGTTTGCCCGAGTGTCTTTAGTATATGCCAAATGCCTTCAAGGTTAAGCTAGATAAGGTGGAGTCAGATCGATTCTTGTGAAACTGCATTTCTTTCGAGATCTGTTTGTTTAATGATTTCCTACGGTTTGGGGTTTGTCAATGTTGAAAGGTTTACATATGTGGTGATGTTATCAATATTGGAAGGGTTTTCACAAGTGCTTAAAAGTTGCCTGTAAATACTTTTTCAAACGGGTTTTAAGTTTTAAACTTACTCTTGTTTCCAATATTCAGTACAAAGTATCGTATGCTTAACCCATATTCTTGATTGTCACAGACATTGGTAAAAATTGGCGGTAGCCTTGTTGTGGCACTTTTGGCAGAATATTGGTGAATTTTCCATCATTTTCTTGTGCCCACATCGAAGGAATTCTAGCGTAGCATGAAACTAATTGTCTCAACTTGCATTGATGAAATGAGAAACCAAAGGAGATTCCAATGTCACCAAAAGTTCTACAAACATAAAAAAATTAAATAATAATAATTAAATTAAATAAATATATAAAAATGATAAAGTCCATGAAAAAAAAGCACCAGTAATGAACTTTATCTTTTTAGTTGAAACTTATCAAAGACAGCTTAAAATCTGATTTTTATTTATATCAATAAGCACTAGTTCTTAGGCTCCCATAAAACGCTGCCAAACACTCAATTTTCCAAAACTAGTAATCCTTTTGTGAAAAAATATGCCAATACGGCGCTCCCTCTGAATTTTCAATAAAAATTTATACTTTGGGAGTTGGGAGGGGGGTTTCAATTTAAAGGAGATAATAATCCAAATGGTCACTGAACTTTACAAAAAGTTTTCACAGGATCACTAAACTTAAATCACCAAAGTCATTACTGAACTTTATAAAAGATTTTAATTAGATCATCGAATTTTAAAAATCACCCCATTTATCACTAAAGTTTGCAAAAATTTCCTACGGGATTACTCAACTTTGCAAAAGGTTTCCCAAGGATCACTTACTGAATTTAGTAATCCTTGGGAAACTTTTTGCAAATTTGAGTGATGAATGAAGTTATTTTTAAAGTCAGTAATCTCGTGGAAATTTTTTGCAAATTTTAGTGATGATTTAGATGATTTTTAAAATTCAATGATCTTGTGGAAACCTTTTGCAAAGTTCAGTGACCATTTGAGTTATTATCTTCAATTTAAAGATTTGAGACAACATTAAAATGTACTTCCAATAGTTCCATTAAATTTTCAATTATAATTTGACAGAATCATGCTACAATGTCAAAAATGTTGACAAAATTCTTGAAATAATGTCACATAGCATTTTATTATTGAACTATTTAAAACATAGTCAACTTTTCAATTCAATCATATCTTACCAAGCAAACTGGCTTTACCCATTATTAAGAAAATTCTCCAAAAAAATAAATAAATTAATCAGGTGTTTGTTATGCTAAGACCATTTATCAGGATTAATTTGTTGAAACTAAAAGGGTGGGACCAATCATATTCTCTGGCACTACAAGCTTGTCAAACTCTTCAGAAGTGAGCATTATCGGATTCAGAATTGAGATGATAATAAGAGAGGTTTATTATTGAACCAAAATCACACAGAGAATGTATAAAGCTGTATAAATAATACAGTGTTGGCGCCAAAAGAATGACATAGCTGGTGACAGCTGGATAACTACCTAAACTAACCATCCAGATGAACAAACGGATTGTGTAGAATGCCTATAGTGCTGTGCAGTTTATACAACTCTAATACTCCCCCTCAAGATGTAGTGTGAATGTTCTTTACACACATCTTGAATAGCAAAATAAGGAGTTTTGAAGTTGGTAGCGACTTAGTAAAAAGTAAAAACACCATTGTTGTGACCGAACAGGGAGGAGTTAAACTAATCCAGCAGCAATTTTGTCATGTATGAAGTGGCAATCAATCTCGATATGTTTTGTCCGTTCATGAAAAAAGGGATTGGTAGCAATCTGGATGGCGGCATGATTATCACAGGAAAGGACTGCAGGAGATGCTGTTACTGTGCCAAAGTCTCTCAGTAGCTGGTTGATGCAAATAAGTTCACTGATAGTGGCTGCCAGAGCCCTATATTCTGCTTCAGTTGAAGAAAGAGATACGGTGGGTTGACGTTTAGCTTTCCAAGATATTAAGAAGTGACAAGAAATATACAAAATCCTATGATGGACTTCCTTGTGTCGAGACACGAACCCTAGTCCGCGTCTGAGAATGCTCGAAGTTTGATGGGCAGGCTATAATTAGATTTTGCAGATTAGAAGAGGCCTTGACCAGGACTTCCTTTCAAGAACCGAAGAAGATGATGCACAACTTTAAGATGTGGTACCCGGGGCTAAGATAGAAATTGATTTAATTTGTGTACTGCAAATGTAATGTCAGGGCGTGAGATAGTCAAATACATCAGCTTCCCAATCAAATGCCTATAGTGAGTGGCATCCGACAGTAGGTCTCCATCATGATCGCTCAAAGAAATCTTCGGATCCATAGGGGTGTTTGTAGGCTTACAGTCAAGATAGCCAGAATTTTCAAATAATTGCAGTGCATAATGCCGTTGTGTAATGGCAATCCCTGAGTTTGAATGAGCAACTTCAACGCCTAAGAAGTATTTCAACTCACCCAAGTCTTTTAGTTTGAACTAGGAATAGATAAACGCCTTTAATGAATTAATAGTTTGAACATTTGGTCTATGATGACAATGTAATCAACATACACGAGTAAAGCTACAAAATAATTTCCTGATCCTTTAGTGAACAATGAATAATTGGCCTTTGACTGAGTAAAACCATACTGAATTCTTGCCTGTGTAAATTTCGAATTCCATTGCCATCATGCTTGCTTTAGGCCATAAAGGGACTTATGCAGCGTGCAAACCAGCCTTTCCCCCTGTTTAGCAGTCTTTGAAACTTCATGACCAGGTGGAATGTCCATATAAACTTCCTCAAATAAGTCTCCATTCAAGAAGGCATTGTTGACGTCAAGTTGGACCAAATGCTACTTATGGTAAGCTGCAAGAGTCAGCAATACTTTGACAGTGACAATCTTCGCAACCGGGGAAAATATATCAAAATAATCTATGCCTTCTTGTTGGGTGTAATCTTTTGCTACAAGGCGAGCTTTGTGCCTTTCAATAGATCTACTGGAATTGTATTTCATCTTGAATATCCACCTGCAACCAACAGAATGCTTGCCATTGGGTAAAGGGACCAAAGACAAAGTATGATTCCTCTCCATGGCCTGCAATTCTTCTTTCGTGGCTTCACACCACTGAGGATGTTTGACAGCTTGGTGGAAAAATTCTAGTTCAACATAAGATGATACATTTAAAACAATTTGTCTATGATGTGGAAAGAGATTTTTATAAGATATGAAGTGTTTAATGTGATGGGGTCGGTAGTAAACATATTTATGATTTTGAGAAATCAAGTTACAATGGTAGTCCTTAAGATATTTAGGAAGTTTATTAGCTCTTTGAGACTGTCATGTGGTGGTTATAGGATGAGGCGCAGATATTGCTGGTGGATCAGTATAGTGGTATCATCTAGAACAATATCATTGGAAGGTAGTGGAGGAGATGATGGATCAATGGAAGGTTGGATGTGAGTGTGTTCAGATGGAATAAGAGTGGAACTGTGTTCCAGATGGGTATTGGGTAAATCTGTATGACTATTTTGATAGGGAATAGGAAGTACCAAATTAGGGAAGGGATCCAAAATTTGATCATCCATTATGATTGTATGAAAAGGGAAGATATTTTCATGGAACATAACATCCCTTGATATAAAAACTTGTTTTGTTTCCACATCATAAAGTTTGTATCCTTTCACCCCAGGAGAATATCCCAGGAATACGCATACTCGAGCTCGTGGTTGAAATTTATTCCTGTGAGCAGTCAATGTAGATGCAAAGGCTAAGCACCCAAACACCCTTAAGGAGGAATAGTCAATAGGTTTGTTATGTAGGACTTCATAAGGTGTCTTGTGTCTCAATATAAGAGATGGAATTCTGTTATGAGAAATGTTGCAGTTAATACACAGTAAGACCAAAACATTATGGGAACTTGTGACTGAAAAAATAGTGATCTAACCACATTTAACAGATGTTGGTGTTTCCTCTCGACCACAGAATTTTGTTGTGGTCTTTCAACACAGCTGAATTGATGCATTACCCCTTTCTCAGCAAAGAATTCAGTGAACGCCAATTCATTTGCATTGCCTGATCCGAACATTTCAATTTTAGCATCGAACCGAGTGCTGACCATATTGAAAAATCTGGGAATTATGCTTGCAACATCAGATTTTTTGCTTCAACAGATACAGCCAAGTGAATCTTGAACAATCATCCACCAAAGTTAAAAAGCATCTATGCACTGAGAATGAAGTAACCTAATATGGCCCCCAAATGTCGCAGTGTATGATGTCAAATATAGTACTGGAAAGGTTGTTATTTGAATCAAATGACTGCCTTCTCTGTTTTGCAAGGGGGCAAATGTAGCAAGGCATATGTTCATTGAAATTTGAAGCATCACACAGTAATTGATCCTTGAACCAATCTTGTCTTTTGAAGGAAAGATGACTAAGCCTATTGTGCTACACTTGTTCAGAGACTTTGTTAACAAGAGCATTGGAAGATGAATTCAGAATCTTGACATCAAGAACATATAGGTCTTGTATTCTATCACCTTTCCAATTATTTTCTTAGATTTTGCATCTTGAATGATGAAGCAGTCATGAAAGAAATTCAATTAGAGTTGTGACCCGAGGGTTAATGCACTAACCGATAATAGATTGAATTTGAACCGTGGCACAAACAACACATCTCGCAGTACTAGAGTTGAACTTAATCTTACATCCCCACATAATTTTACTGGAATTTTTGTTTGATCAACCAGGATGACATAGAATCATCTATAATTCTCAGATTTATGAATGCAGCAGCAATTGAACAAACATGCTTTGTGGCCCCTGAATCCACTATCCAAATTTCTTTGGAATTTAAGACTGGATTAATAGGTATAGAATGGCATATACTTGTATTATGTGATGTAATTTTTCTGTCCTGATAATCAGAATCTGCTGTTTTTGAGTTTGATGCTAGATGATTGGACAACATCGACAACGATTGTTGATACTAATTAGGATTCAACCTCTGAATGAACCTTCTAATCCCAGGTTGCTGTGAATTATGCAGCTTAGAGCTAGAGGAGTTCTGGAAATTGTGAGTACGCGAATCACTCACTGAATGATGCAAGAGATAAGAGCTTGAAGGTCCATCAATGGCCGATTTGCTTAATGATGACCTCAAACCAGACTGATTTTTGGATTGTAATGACTCCATATGGAGATTAGATCAAGTAGCATATCAACAGAATCTGTGAAAAAAAGGAGATCAAGCAACATATTAAATCTGTGAAGAAGAAAGATGAATGCGAAAAGGATTATGCTCTGACACCATATCAGATTCAGAATTGAGATGAAAATAAGAGAGGCTTATTATTGAACCAAAATCACACAGAGAATGTATAAAGCTGTATAAATAATATAGTGTTGGCACCAAAAGAATGACACAGCTGGTGACAGCTGGATAGCTACCTAAACTAACCATCCAGTTGAACAAATGGATTGTGCACAATGCCTACAGTGCTGTGCAGTTTATACAACTCTAATACTCCCCCTCAAGATGTAGTGTAAATGTTCTTTACAAGCATTCCAATTTTTAAGGTAGCTTCCTGTACATTCAGAATCTTTTAATCAAATTCGTATGCAGAAATGAATTTTATGATTTACAATGTTGTTTAATTTAAACATGGCATTGACATAGGGAGGCAATGAATGAAATTTATTGTGATGCAAGGGATAAAGTAGTTAGCAATGAACCGAAGAGAGAGTCTGAAAAGAATTCATAAAGTTGAGTCTGAACCAAAATTTATTAAAAACAAGAATTGCATAGCTATTTTTGTTGCATGAGATATCAAGAATGTTTGGCTTAGCTTAAAAGGTTTACGTACAAATACGTTTTGGTATAAGCAAGTAGTGACATCATCGGATCGGCAACATGAATGAGTGGAGATAAATGAAGGAGACTCGCTAATCTCAATGTTCTTGACGCCCATAATAGCACCCATGCGCTCCAGTATAGTATATCGAGATTTTAGGGTGAACAATTTTCAGATACGAGCAAATTGGATCAACTTGACCAGTAAGACTCCAATTTACAGTCTAGCTCATGAAAATCCAAATACATATATCTCTAGATTCCTCGAAAAATGTCAGAATTTTCATGTTCCAGGGGTTAATGAAGACGCTATTAAGTTGCAGTTATTTTCCTATACACTACTAGATGTGACATTGGAAGCATTACTACGTGGAAAAAACTGATTAGAAAAATATGCAACGAATTCTTCCCACTGGCGAAAGTAGCAAAAATCTAATTGAAAATTCGAACATTTCAACAAAGAGATGAGGAGAGTTATCATGAGGCGTGGAACAAATTTAAGGAGCTCATGAGAAAGTGTCCAAATCATGGAATAACCATAGGTAATCAAGTGCAATACTTCTACACAAAACTTTCACCAATGTTAAAATCTCAAGTGGATTCCTTTATTGATGGATTGATCATAGGAAAATCCGTACAACAATGCATGATTTTGTTCAAGTTAATTGTCACTACACTTTCAATGTCTTCATAAAAAAAGAGTGATACCACAGAAAGCAGCTGAAATTTATGAATTAGACAGCACAATATCTACCAATGCACATATAGCAACTTTAACAAAACGCGTAGAGTTACTGCTAAAATCACAAATAAAAGAAGCACATGTAGTGATGGCTAGTCTATCATGTGAAAATTGTGGAGCTAATCATTTTATAAGAAATTGTGTGTCTATTGGCTTTCCCGAGGAATAAGTGAACTTTACTTTCCCGCAATTTTAACTTACATGGACAAATATATAACCCAAGATGGAGACAACACCCCAACTTTAGATGGTCAGGCAATCAGCAAGGGAATTGTTCAAATAATGCTTAACAAGAAAAAAAATTCAAGTCTGGGAGAGATGTTCAATCAATATATACAAAAGACAGACAAAGTGTTTCAGCAAATTGACGCAAACTTTTAGAATCAGCAAGCATCTATTAAGAGGCTGGAGACACAAATTGATCAGATAGCTTAACAATTTACAGAATGCTCACAAGGGACATTGCTAGGCAATAAATGATAAATCCAAAAGAGCAGGTGCAAACTATTACAACCAAAAATAGAGTAGAACTACTAGAGATACATGTGAAGAGGCTGGGCAAAAAAGATAAAGAGGCAGAAGTTGAAGAGGCTGATAAAGACGAAAAATATGCACCAATCACAAAAAAATGAGGAAGAGAGAAAAGATACAACCATAGTAAGAGCACCAAGTCCTAACTCACTCGAATTAGTATATGATTTTTACTTTTCATATGTAAATGATTTTTATGTTTTTAGTGCGTTTATATATTGATTAAAGATTTTTTTTAATATTATTTAATTAGATATTTATAAAGAACGTTGCTATTGCAATCGTTGATGGTCAACGGTTAATAATCGCCATAACTCACTCAAATTCTTGAATCCACCCTTGAGCTCACTCGAGAGATTCTTGGAGACTAAGTTGAGAAAATACAAATCAAAGAGCTAAAGGTTGAAAAATTCATTGAAGAAGGAGAATTCAAGCTTGGCGCAAAATTTCCTTTTATTTTTTTCGTCGCCTTTTCTTCTTAAATCCAATGATGTATTTCAATTCTAATTTGTGTTTTTCTTGGTAGGTGGTTTGCGGCTAAATTCATTGGTTCGGGTGAACAATATAACTTTAATTCAATCACAACTGTCCTAGGTTGTGATGACCTTAAATGAACTGAAAAGTAGTAACCATATGTCCTAGGCTTTCTATCTGAAAAGTTCTTCCTTAAGTCGAAGCAATGTAATATAGGATATCTTGTGAAGCAAACGCTCATCGTTATGGAAACACACCGAAACTTGTGATACCTTGCTTCAGACATGAAAGTTCAATCTCCGTCATGTTGCTTCAATTGAGATCACTTCTGCCTTGTATCTAAGAGCCCTAGCTAGACTTAGGAAGATGAAATGACATGGAGCACGGGCGTTGAGTAACTTATATTTTCTCAACTAGTTCACGTGACATATCTTGTTGGACAAGGTGTAATAGTCTTTAAAAGCTATTGACATTTTGAATACCCCTTATTTATAGAATACTCTTAAAAAGTTTTAATCAATAAAGTTCCATAACTTTTAAAGTCTTTTTTAAAATTTATAAAAACCTATATGAACACACCAATATATATTTAGAGAATATTAAAAAGTTTATAATTTCAAAAATTCCAATTAAATACAGCATGTCATATCGAATGCCCATTTACATTGTTGGATTGTGAACATAAGTAAGCCGCTATTTGATGGCCATTATTTTTTTTTTTTTATAAAAAATAACATACTGAATAGTGATTTTTTGGGAATGTGTGGTTAAAAAATATATAAAAGTTTTGAATCTAAGTGTAAGATTTTGCATTATGTGAATGTGTATTTTAAAATGAGTATGAGAATTAGGGTATGTTTGACTGTAATTATGAAATTTGTATGGAAAGAAAATAAAATCTAGACAATTGAATGAAAATTATTAATTAATTAAATGTGTCTGATTCACTTAATTTTTAACAAAAATATTTTCTTTATTTAAAAAAAAAAAATAATCACAAATTAATTTTCATGAAAGAATCACAATCAAATCAAACAATCAAAAAGTAAGAACTTTGGCGAAAAATGATTAGTTTCTAAGTCAATCAAATACACGTTGAAGAATTTTGTTTCAATGTAAAACCAACCGAGGAAGTAAGCCACAACCTTCCATCTCCTCCACAACAGTGAGTCACTGCAGCTTACTCTTTAAAAACCTCCAAAAAACCCGAATTTCTCCAATCTAAATTCATTTCAATTCAACCCCCATTCACCGATCCTCTCAATTCTTCTTTCGTTAAAGAAGAAATCCCCATCCAAGACACAAAAATTCGTATGCATACATACGGACTTTCGATTCTTTTAAATTGATAGAGTAATTAATGTCAGGTAAGGGAAGCTTTGCGGTGTCGCGTAGCCATGGGGGAGACAGATTTTACAACCCACCGGCAGTACGGAAGAAACAGCAATTGCTGCTACAGCAACAACATTCGATGCAGAAGCAGCAGTTGATGCCCCAGCAACAGCAGCAGGAGTTGCAGAGGGCGGCGGTGAAGACGGAGTCATTTGCCCATGCGGAGTCGGGAAACCGAAGCGAGTCTGATGGTTCGAATGCAGCATTGTCGAAACAGGATTCTGTCCGCTCGGTTTCGCCTCCTGCACCACCGCCTGTTGGAGTTACTAACTTGGATCGTTTGATGGAATCTGTAACTCCCTTCATTCCTGCACAGTGCGAGGCTGAGGTAAACCCTAAACCTCCGTTTTGTTTACAGGGAAAGAAAGGAAAAACAGTGTCGCTTTATGATTTATTTTTTGGATTACCAAATCAAAAATTCCGTTCTCTACGAAGTCAACTTCAAGCTTCAATGTCTTCACTGTATTAATAATTGATTTGAATTTATTTTCTCTTGTTAGGATCACTGGATTGCGTATTGAAAATTGGATTTAAAAGTGAATGTGATACCGCGCGCTTTCTTTTTCCCATTCGAAACCCAATTAAATGTGTCCATAAAAGGGAAAGGCTTAGAGGTTGCATTCAATAAGATGTCTTGTTTTGGATCAATTCTGAAAAAATGAAGCTTTTTTTTTTTTTTTTTTCCTTTTTTTTCATTCTTCAAATAATTTATGAGAACGGAGGTCTCAAAAGATTGTTAGTTCAGCTTTTTTGAAACTTTATGAACCTTGTTGTTCAAAAGGCTGTTAATTTGCAGCTTTTTCAAAGGTTTGATTAAAGAACTCGTTTAGGAAGGGTATCAATTGACAGCAGTTAGAAAATCTACGAAAGTGGTTTCTAAAGGTCAATAATTTGAGCCATTCTCCAAAAGATTTACAAAAGTGCTATGGAAGGTTTTTAGCAATTTTTGAAGATTTATCAAATAAAAAGTTTTGTAAAGGTCATTAATTTGCATCATCATGTATTGTTTTGACAGGCCAATGCAAGGGGATGGAGAATGCGGAAAGCAGTGTCCCATCCATTTTATTGCCTGGATGATCTGTGGGAATCTTTTAACGAGTGGAGTGTGTATGGTGCTGGAGTACCTTTGATATTGAATGAGAAAGACCGAATCATACAGTATTATGTTCCATACTTGTCGGGCATACAGTTGTACATAGACTCTAAGAAGCCTCCTTCATCACTTAGGTAAGCCTTAATTACGAGTACTCTTTGATTGTCTTGGTACTTGATCTTTGGTTGAATTTGGCTAGGTTGTCATTATGCATTTGCTTTTGGTAAGTAATTATGGTACTTCATTTTTGGTTTGTGTTGGTAGTTACAACATAATCACTAGGGTCTCATTCCTTTGGATTGTTGTTGTTGTGATCACCTACTCATGGGACTTTCCCATTGTACTATAAATCTAATAGGCAAATCTTGTAATGATAGCTTTTTCAATGTGTTATTGTTCATGTATTCGCCTTCGTGAGTAATTCTGCTGTTATTCATTACTTGTTTTGTACCAGTACGTATACCACTGTCCCTTGTGTCACATTCCTTTGGGGGGGGGGGGTTCGTCTGATATATCATATATATTATATGATGCTAGTTCCCTTTCTGAGTAGAAATTTGCTTCGCACTGCATTTGGTAATAGAATTTTGGGCTAAAATGAAGTCATTAGAGGCATTATGATTACAATTTAAAAAATTTAACTTGGCATGCTACAGAAGAAAATATTAAAAGCTTGGATTTCATGTTCACGATTATCCCCTAGTTTTAGTGGCAAATAATTATGTACTAAGTGCTTCCTTATATCTATATATTCCACGACGACGAGTTTGCTGTACTAAGATAGTTAAGTTGGAGCAATATCCGATATACTTATCCCATGTTTGAATCTCATTAAATTGCATTTTTTTCTCTCCTATTTTCAACCACACAATCTTCCATAAAATAATATTACACAAATCGAAAACTTTTCCTTTTTTTTCAACCACTCATTTTTCAAAAAAACGCTATTCTACCCATTTTCATTTCCAAAAAATGGGGGCCAAATGGGGGCTTAGTTAAAAATAAGAATGCTTATCCATTAGAGTACCGTGTTCATCTAGGATTGTTAATCACTAATCAGATATAACTAACTTGTTGATCACACAAACTGATTTTCCTTTGATCTCAACATTTTTGTGTAAGAAAAATGCAATTAGAGAAGCTTCCTATGGACATAGCCAAACTTATGTTTCTCGTTTTGGTGAACACGTGCTAACTGTTTTCTTCAGGAGGCCTGGTGAGGAGGGTGATGCTGCATCAATGGAAACAAGTAGTGCTAGCAACAGTGATTGTGAAGCTGATAGGCGTTTGAAATCCCTTGTGGATGGGTCGAGGAATCAGCAGAACCTCATGAATTCTAACTCCCAACGTCTTAACAAACTCGCACTGAGAGATAAATCTGTCATCGGTTCATCCAGTGACGAAGCTGAAATTTCAAGTTCACCTGGATTGCTCTCGTTTGAATATTTGGAACAAGAACAACCACATAACCGTAGACCACTAACTGACAAGGTATACCTCACTTTTTAGAGTTTAGAATATTCAATCTGCATTTGTCCATGTTTTTTATGTCCTTAAAAGTGGTTATTTGTGCAGATTTCCGTTCTTGCTTCCCAATTTCCTGAACTGAAGAAGTACAGAAGCTGTGATCTACTTCCAGCAAGTTGGATGTGTGTAGCTTGGTATGATTCTTGCATATATTATATACAATTTTTTATATTGTTGTTTTTGATGTTCCTGGTTCTTAACTTGATCTTGCTAATTTAATTTGTTGCAGGTATCCAATTTACAGAATACCCATAGGCCCAACACTACATGATCTGGACGCATCATTTTTGACCTTCCATTCCTTGTCAACGCGCTCTAGAAGTACACCTCTCTCTCTCTCTCTCTCTCTACCCCCCACCCACCCCACCCCAAATGAAAAAAAAAAAACCCCCCCCCCCCCAAATGAAAAAAAAAAAAAATAAAAAAAAAAAATAAATAAAAATCTGAAAAGAAAACTCTTTATCTCTTTGTCACCGCATGTGTGTGAGTGTGTATGTGCATGGATTGTCTTCATTGTCCTTCATTGACACACTGTGAATGTACAGGTAATATTGCGCCTCAATTTCATGCTGCAAACACTAGGCAAGTCCGTGGAATTGTCGATCCGTCTTCAAAGATTTCATTACCAGTCTTTGGCCTTGCTTCATACAAGTTAACAGGTTCAATTTTGAGTCCTTGTGCAGCTCATGAGCACGAGCAAGAGAACTCTCTTTTGCAAGCTGCAGACAATTGGCTTCGCAATTTGCAGGTTATTCTCCATGATTACCAATTTTTTGTTACTCACTACTCCCAAAGGAGATGAAGGGCGTCTCTTTTTGGTGAGCAGAAGTTTCGTGCCAATTGCGGGGCGATCATTTTTTGAAGTTGAGCTTCTATAGAACTACCCCCCTCTTCTCAGCCGACCAAATAGCCTGGTAAAAGATTGTGCCCTGTTTTTTTGAGCTTTCTTGTGTTATGGGCACGTTTAAAATACCTTCAATAGCGTTGTTATTCAGGAAAGTAGGATATATCATGTGGCTTTGGCTGGGTGTCAATTCACCTTAGATGATAAAATCGACTGGTGTGGGATATAGGATGCCTTGCACATCATTATGTTGTTTAGAGACTTACAGGAGATATAATCAGCACCAAGATGCGAATTGGCCTCTTGTGAGGACATAGGGTAATCAAAGTGGGTTTCCATTTTTGCCGTTCTTTATAACAATCATGCTCTTGTTATGTTGTGGTGAAGGCAGTTGAGCCGTATGAGACATCAGTGTATTACTGAAACCCTTGATTTTGATAATTTCTGCAACAGTGATGAAAATTTGAACGATTTGTGTTCTCTGTACTTTTAGAATGCATATAAAAACCCATAGCAGTAGAGTTCTCATGAAGTAATATCGTCGCAAATATTTCTTATAATACTTTTTTACTTTTAATTAAAAAAAAAGTTAATTATTCTTGAAAAATTCTTATCTTAGAGTGTGTTTGATTGATTTTATTTTTCATGAAAAACATCATTTTTCGACCCGAATTTCTACTTTTGGAGTGTTTGATTGATAATGTTTTCCATGAAAAACATTTTTCAATTTTTGGTCATGTGACCATATTTTCCTTAAAAATAAGAAAATTATTTTCTTTAGGGAGGGTTGGTTATTACTTTTCAAGTAATTTACTCTCTCTCTCTCTCTTTCTTTCTCTTATCTATCCGTTCTCTCACATCTACCCATCAATAAAAAATGAATAAGTATAATATTTTCTATAATGAAAACTAAATCAATCGAACACATTTAATCACTACTTTCATACAAATAAGTTTTAGGCAATTGAATTGTTTAGAATTTATATTCTTTCCATGCAAATTTCATATTTACAATCAAAAGCATCCTTCGTATCAGAAGAGTTGCATTACTCTTGTCTGCAATGCTAATGGTCAAATAAGTCGTGTTAGATTTTACCTTCGGTTTTGAAGGTTGATCTCAACGAACGGTAGAAGATTTTTTCGAAACATAATTTCTATTGCTGGTGGATATCAATTCAATTCTAAAGCCTCAATTTCCTTAGTTTAGTTTTATTATGCTGTTCATGAACTGGATTTGATACAGGATTGCCAAAAGTTGCGTTAACAGATTCTACTGAGGCTTTATGTATTATCCATTGAAAAACGTAGACTGGAGATCGTTTCTTGATGTAGAGATTCAAAGCTGAGATGCATTAAGATAAGGAAATTTGATCGAAATTCATGAATCCGAATAAATTTAATCCTTATAAATAGATGGATTAAGGCGATAAACATATAGTTATAACATGACAATGGTTTAATATGAAAACGCCCGCCCTACCTCCTCCCAGGCCACTGTTAGGACTAGTATTCACCCACCCCTTACCCTCTCATGTATACAAGAAAAAATAACATCTATTTGCAGTCAAAATTACTTATAAGTAAATAATTAAGTTTTAGATTATATTATTTTTTACTTATATAATATAAATTCAGTTATAATATCAAGGATTTTCCTCTAGGTAAAAACTTGCTTATATGTCAAAAAAATTAATTATAAGAGAAAAATTATGTGCAAGTAATAACATTACATATAGCTAAAAAGTTTCATTTACATGTAAAATCACTCATAAGACAAAAATGCTTAAAAGTGAACAATAGCTTATGAGTAAATTTAAGTCTATATGTGTGTGTGTGTATCATCAAACGCCTTACAATTCATCATAATCCATCTTATTCTTATACCTCGATTTTATTCATTCGAGAAATACATTATACTAAACGTGCTTGAATAAACGGATGCACTAGTACACTGTATCCAGTGCGTCCCTTTCCATTCCCGTTACAAATTAATGATGAAAAATCAAGCCTACCAACTCGTAGAAAAATGTAAATAACATGAATATGACTGATGTTTAACAAGTTCTCACATCCAAGTTGAGCATCCAACAAAATGCAGATATGGTGCTGGCAATTTACTTCAGATCAATAATATTTGGAGTAAAATACATTCTAACACTAACATCAAAAGATTCATCAAGAACGATTGCACGGAAGTTTCGAGAAATTTTCGATTCGAGCTCAGAAAACAATCAAACGAACATCACCTTAGCCAAGCTCGACCCACATACGTTTTGCACTTCGGTTGCCTCTATTTTTCCACTTTGATTACCCTTCTTCTTGTAAGTATTATGCCATAGGTCCAATCAACCTTGAATATAAATACTTTTGATATATAATTAATGTAATTTAATGGCAGATCTATTATTTAATTAATAGACAATTAAATAAATAACAGAGTCCGTAGATTCAAATTTTCGTAATTTGTTAATCACAAGGAGTTGTGATTGTGAGATACAAATTACATATGATTGAATCTTAAATCGTCCGTGGTCGTAAGTAATAACGAGATACGAATATCGTTATTAAGGATAGACCATCACGTGTGACATTTCTTACTTGTGAAGTAAGTAGCTGATCTCACAAGTTAAAGTGTGGTGACACTTAAATGAACATGTGGATGTTTTGTTATAGAACAAAATATTGGAGACCCACCGATAGATTTCACGTGGATAACTATCTGAATGTCAGTGGTTAATCTCTACTGTTTGGTAGTTGGATTGGTCATTTGAGGTCGTCATAGTATCTTATATGAGGACAGTCATGCTTTGACGGTATTGGATGTTGTTCTGCCAAGAGCCGTTAATACAGCATCGTTCGGGTATGTCAAGAATCGTATGAAGGTTGTGAACGTCCAATAGAGGATTTGTCACTTTTAGATAGTGGGAGATTATGATCTGCGTTTCATTCAATTAAGTCGATAACGAAATTCTTGACCAAGGTGTACTCATAAGTCGAAAAGGAGTCTTCGACTTATATTAACTTAGTAGTGGAGTGAAAGATATGATCGATATTCGAAATTGACACACTTCCATATCCCGTAATTGATCGGATCATATTGACGAAAGGATTATAGTTTCACGGTAAACGAACGAGTTTGGTTTTGTCATACCACATTACATTCTTCATTACATGTATTGTCCTGACACATTGCTAGATGTAAATCTGAGACGTCGAGTATGAATTGGTGATAAATTAAAAGGGTGTTTTAATTTATCAATTTTGATTAGATCAAAATAATATTTCACGTCGTTAGGTATCGTGATCGAGAACCTGATAGGTCGCACACAAAAGAGAATTGGAAGATTACAATTTGTCAATTAATTAATTTAACAATCGTTGGATAAATTAATTAATTGGATTGGTTATTTATAGGCCCGAATTAATTAATTAGATTAATTAATTCACGGACCGAATTTAATTAAATGGATTAATTAAATATTGGATCGGACCAAGCTAGACCCGTTTGAGTTTATATAAATACATGGCTAGAGTTTTCAATCCAATGAGTTTTCTCATAATTTCTTGCTTGTACAAGAGGAGAAAATCCTGGTAGCAACAATCTTGTTCTCTGTGTGGATCATCGTTGGAGGCTGGACAATTGGACAGCTGTAGGTGGCGAATCAAGATCATTGGAATAAAGAAAAGTAAAGGAATTTGCAGATCTAGAAAAAGGTGTGACTTTTATCACAATTTTTATCTAAACACAAAGATGAATTCTCGTGGGAATTGAAAATTATTTTAATTTTCGCTGCGCATATTTAAGTAGATTCCCAACACTTCTAACCCACAAAGGACACCAATGGAGGGGGAGGGGAGGTGATTTGCAAGCCAAAAAGGGAGGAAGGAAAAGAGAGAACAATGGTTGAATATTACTGTTGAAATCACCTCACTCGGTTGCCTCTCTCTCACTTTTACTCCTCCAGCAAACTTCACATTCACACACACGCCAGTAGCAAAATGGAAGGATGGAAAGCAAAAAACACATTAGGTTACTTTTTTGGGCCAAGTCAAGTGGTCCATATAATCAAAGTATTAAGCCTCCAACAAAAGGGATAATGTTAAGAATAAATGAGCCAAGTAATATTATCATTCAACTCAATAACTTGGGTCATCTACGAGTGTTGGGTCACTAGCAACATTAACTCAATTAAGTTATTTTTAGTGGCCCCAAATTGTTTCTGGGTCTAGCCCATCATCAAGGTATCGATATAAATTATTCAACATCGTTTTAACATCATCGCCCCAAGATTTATTGGGTATCACCTTGATACCGAATTAACCTGAAAGCAAACAAAACACAGTTTATATTTGCATAATTAAGGTAATAAATAAATTTGGTATCATAGACCTTATCTCGTGTCTCAAACCCGAAACACATAACATACATGTTCTATATACTTATTAGAACTAAGGTCAATAAACACTCAAGTAGAAGCAAATAACCACAGTAATCAATCAAGAGCAAATAAACATGCGATGAAAATATAATATAGGGTAACACAGATCTTTTCAAACATGTTCACACAGAACAACAGACTAATATCAAGTTAATCAATCAAAGGGCCAACACATATGCAACAAATGCATAAATGACCTCACTAAGAAATTTCATCACACTTATCCTATCTTATTACTTGTTGCTCACATTCTGAGAACACATATCTACTCTCATCTCCTATCATGCTCATTAGACTGATCACTAACTCATGTCTGACTGGTAAATTTCTATAGATCTTAAGTCCATAGGATAACCATCTCTCTCTCTCTCTCTACCTCATTTCTCTTAATTTAAGTGGATAATGGATTTTTACCTAATAGAAGTGATAGAAATGTCTTTCTTACATTTTACCTTATCAGGGTCTTACTAGATGAAGGATTCCACATATTTAATCATACCTCCACTCATGATCCAAATGTATACTCTCCACATTTTCGTACATATCACCAATGCACCCTTAGGCATTTTATACTGCTAATGCACCCCAAACATAGTACGAGATCAACACTTTTGACAACCACAAAGATTAGGGCTCAATTTAAATCGACCACACATCCAGGGTTACTCTAACATCAATACTCAAAAAAGTCCATAAAAGATATATCTCACAAAGAAAAATGTGAATGTGGCACTCACAAAGAGAGTAGAAAAATCACTACACTAAAAAAAAGAGGCTCATAAAGAGGAAAAAGATAAGCTACACATGACTATCTCATATAATCTCAAATTTCTCAACACAACATGCTCTGATACCATTTGTTGCTCGGAAGGTTCGAGAAATCATTGATTCGGGGTTAGAAAATAGCCAAATAAACACCACTTTAGCCAAGCTCGACCCACAACCGTTTTATACTTTGGTTGCCTCTATTTTTCCACTCCAATTACCGTTTTTTCTAACCCACAAAGAACACAAAGGCGGTGGTGATCCCTTCGTCGAGCCTTTCCTTTAATGAAACGACATAAGAAGATTTTGCCGATTAAGAAGTTT